GTACTGTAAAATCTGTATTAGAAGCCGCGGCTTCTATTAAAATGGTACAATCCAATAGAGGGTGTGTGGCTTCTATTAGAGCATCTACACATATGAGAAATGATGATTTTTTGGTTCCCAATTGTTTAAAAAAAATGGGTGCGACTTCTATTAGGGATGCGGCTTCTAATACAGATATTACGGCAATAACAAAAGAGAATTTTTTACAATATGGTGGAGAAATAATGTTGCAGCGAAAATTACAGAAAAATATTTATAAAAATAAAGCTAAACAAAGCAAAACAAAATATCCATTTACATGAACTTAATCTTCAAACAAATCGAGCTTAAATCTATGTTATAGAAAAAAAGCTGCACAGTAGATTTCTACCATTCCTAACACGTTTTCAACGGTGCTATAAAGATGTAAAAACATTGCAATTTCGAAAGAAGTTCTCGACCATGGACTAATATATGAAACAAAAAAAAAATAGATAGCGTCATCAACGATGAAATGTCAACTCAGTGCACTTCCTGGTTACGGTTGCGAATTTCATGTACATGTACTTGTAAATTTATTCATTCATTCATTCATTCATTCATTCATTCATTCATTCATTTATTCGCTGTTATAATAGTTAGAAAAACAATAATGGTTACATTGCATCTTTATAAGAAAATTCTTCAATCAGTTATTAGCAATAAAATTAAATAAAAATACAAATAAAAAAAATTATGATTGTTAATGTATCGTTACATAAACACCATCACAGAACCAAGTAATATTAATATTACAGATTACGGCAGAAATTTTTAAACGCATTTATAAATATTTATCAAAAACATCCCCAGCTTTCACTCTAATTGCGCACGAATCCAATCATATATTGATGTGAACAGGCAGTGTGTGCGACCGTACATGTATTCAAATTAACGTGTTTACTGATTGGATGACGTCATCTATATTAATTTATACTCACTATGATGTCATAAAATCATTCCTAGATTGGTCAATTTAATTTCATTTAATTCCAACAGCGATTTCGATTTTTTTTAAATGTGTATAACGTCTCCAGGTCTCTGTTTTTCATTTTAGTATATATATTAAAACGCCACACGAGAAAAATTGTGTTTTTAATAAACATAATGTCCCAAAAATATACACCTATGCCATCCATTAAAGCGGGAGGGTTGTCAACTGCGCACGAGCGGAAATTGAGTCCCAAGCGACGATATCAACACACGCTAAAACGCTTGTTTGTAAGCTATGACACGCTATGGCCATCTGACGCATGCGCAGGTGACGAATCCCCCGCTTTAAGTATTGCGACATAAAGTATAACAAAATACTACAAACCATAAACACGTTTATTATTAAAAACCTTATATTAATGTTACGTGTTTCGATGCAAAATTTATCTGTGGTGTGATACGCCTTCATAGCAATGTGCACCGGTGCAACAGCGCCATCTACATAGGTACGGACAAAATATTTGTCATTTCGTTTACAGCAAAGGGCTCAGTTTATACCAAGCCGGTTCAGTGTCGCCACAAGTCAAATCCAAAATGTTTAAGTCAATTTTGCACATTCCAAAAAACATCTTACGGTCCATTCTTTCATAGTTCCCCCATATCTTCACCTGTATTGAGATAATAATAAGTGGACATTGTAATAAGTCATTAAATTCTATATTTTATAAACAATGACACAGGTACTACAAGAAGACAATAGAAAACTAACAATCAGCTGATGACGTATCATCGGGCAGTTGAAGCTACGACCAACTCCACGCACAACCGACAATTAAAGTAACTGAGTTACAGTGGTAGAACTATTGATTTGAACTTAAACGACAAGTACTAGTATTAGGCTAAATATACATTTTCTTTGTGTGATGCAAGTTTTATCCAATAAAATACCATAATTGAATGAGATACAAGCACTGTCATACGAGGCACCCTAGCTGAGTGAGATGCAACAATTTCGCTCGCAATACAAGGCACCCTAGCTGAGTGAGGTACAGCTATTCCCCTACAAGGTACCTTGGCCGATTGAGATATAAATATCGGTTGTCAAGTCACTCATGTTTAGTAATGGCGAAACATCCCAACCCACAATTCACTACGTTCTAGAGGCGAGGGGTTAATCATCCAAATGGATTTACATTAACACAATTGCAGTCAATTTGCATCCTAACAAAATCATACCTCTAACTGACGTCCTTTGAATTTCTTCTTGAACTCGAATTTCTGCTGAAACACTGGTTCCAGTGACCTGCGAGAAAGCCGTGTTTTCTTCTTACTGATGCATTTACTATCGTCCATTAGGTAAAGCTTTAGGTAACACGCTGCAATTTGGTAAAAAAATATTTAGGCAACACGTTGTCATTAGCTGAATCATTAGGTAACAAGCCATACATGGCACAGTACCCGTTAGTTATCAAATTTAAGATATATAGTTTTGTTTATAGTAATATGGTTGGAACAAAAATATGACAGAAGTATGGATCCAGAAGATGATGCTTGATTATGATGATTTTTTAACATTAAAATTATTGACATCATGTATCTGATCGTCAAACGAGTACTTGTGCATATTGAGAAATATTGATCTGGAACAGCATTAATTAAAACAAAATGGCCACCAGTCGCCCATTTTGAATATCTATAACATGTAAAACGAATAATAAAATTTGAACATAATCAGTCAAAGCACATCAGAGATATAGCTCTAGAAGCGCATTCATTTAAACAAAATGGCCGCAAGTTTCATTCCGATCTGAAAAATAAAATGACGTGTATCAGGAACCCATAATCTCTAATGTATGTACCAAGTTTTAACAAAATCCACCCCAAACGCCAAGATCAAGTTTTGGCATGCCAGTAATGCTTGATATTTGATGATTTTTTAGCACTAAAATGGCTGCCATTTGGCCATTTTGAATCAGATAGTCAAACCAATATATCTATGTCATGATGTATATGAATACATACAATTTGATTATAAACAATCAAAGCATGGCAGAGATATGGCACTAGAACTGCATTCATGGATCTGAAAAATAAAATGATGTTCATCAAGGTCCCATAATGTCCAACGTATGTACCAAGTTTAAACGAAATCCATCCATAAACGCTTGATTTTGATGATTTTTAGCACAAAAATGGCCACCATTCGGCCACCTTGAATCAGATCGTGAAACAAATTTACGTGCATATGTATAATATTATATATGATGTATGTGTGAAGTTTGATTGTGATTGGTCCAGGCATGTCTAAGATACATGTCCGGACGCACGCACGCACACACACACACACACACACACACACGCACACACACA